GGATACTATATACAGCTTGGTTTTAAACAAAACCACTACTGGTCTTTATAGAAAGAACAGAGAAAGCATGAGGACTGTTACCCTTAAGGAGAAAATAAGCTCAAGAAAGGAAATGTTTTTCAACTTCGCGATGGATTATGGTTTTAATAGTTTTGCCACAACAAAGCATTTTATTGAAATCACTGCTCTATGCCAGATCAGGGCACATACGCCATTATTTTAATGAGGTTTAACAAGAACCCACATTCCCAGATGAGAGAATCAGATTTTTTGAGCTTTTTAGTGGGGTGGTCAGGGGTGAGGGTAGCTTACTTGTTTTTCAAAAGCGGTTGGCACCAGTCGTCTTAACTCAGATAAACTGTTATTTATCCGATCTCGACGCCTTTTCTCTATTATCTATCCCAAAGAAAGCAGAGCAACAAAAGTTTACGAATACATAAATAAAATTATTCAAAGTAGAAAAACATAACTGTTATACATTAGGCTGGATTATATGAAATAAAAAGAAAAAAATCACATACCCCTCTCCTTTTCTTCCTTGCCATAATCTGAGATGTTGTTGTTGGAGAATTTGATCTAATCACAGAGCTAGTACTTTGCCTATGAAATAGAAAGAGTATGTCAGGTGCTGTATTAACATAACAATTATTCCTTCTGGGTACTTAATGGTACTTATTAAATATTCAAAGTAGTTGCACAGTTCAGGTTTGTTATTTTATTCTTAATTCTTGCTTTACTCTTAACATAATTTGCTTTTAACCCTTATATCTTTTTAGGTAGGAATCTTGCCTTTTAAAAAAATTTTAATGAGTAATCCAGATGCCAAATCCATTGACAAAAACATCCCTAAACTTTTATTCCCAGTGAAATAATTATGGGTAGGGTGAAAAGTTAGATATTAGTCTTTCTTAGTTCCACTCATAAATGTTTCTTAAAAGTCAGCTAATCTCTAACAGCATCATCCTCCTCACTCCAGTCAGATACTCTGAACAAAGCAAAGTTATTTTAAAATAAAGGCCATGTTTAGCACCACTATCAAACAGATACACAGCCATCACATGTCAAACTGCTGTCACTAGATGCGATCTTTAAAATAAATAGAAGTTATCTTACTACTTGAAAACTTCAACTAGTCATATCTCACAACAGAAAAAGACAAATTTAATGTTTTGTATACTAATCTAAAACAAAATGCCCCAAAATGTCACTGATAGAAAAATTCAAATTAGATGAACTTCTAGGTAAACGTTTTACTTTGAAAATGAAATGTGGGTATCTTTGTGTCCTCAATACAAACTTAAACCTCTAGGAGCTGCAACTCATCTTGAGTTTCCTAATGAAAAGATATTTTATGTTGAAAGTTCAATCAAATCGTTATTTTGTCACTTTGAATTTTTACCATCCTTTCTAGTTTGTATCTGTTACTCTTCATAATTCATGGATTCTACACTTCTTTATGTTCTCAAATTCCCCAGGTTCCTGTTATTTGTTCTTTCATTTTAGAAATGTTTCACACACCAGGTTCTTATTACCTCACCTTCTCACTTCTGGATCTTATTTCTGAATTAACTGTCTCCCTCATTCCCACCCCTTCTCAACTGGTTTCGCCTTTCACATAACATCTTCTATTTTTCTGATCTCATTTTTTAAAGATGACACATTTTAATTAGAAGGTACTTTGCAAATAATGTTTCCTGTAAATATCTTTGCTCTTGCTGATTTCAAACTTTGGTTTGTACGTATTAGAATAACAGCATTAAAAGAAAAAAACTATTGAAAGTTTTCTAAAGGTAGGAAGAATTTTGCTCTTTGAGTGACAGCTGCAGATAAATAATTAAGGTGCTTGTGGGGATGCCAATTAGAAGCAATTATCATTTGACCCGCCTTGGCACTAAAATGCCTCGGTAATCTCCCTCTGTCACTGGAAAGTGGAGGTCTGGCTTCTGTGATCACGACCTAGATCTTTTCCAGACTTAAGTTCAAGCAGTCAAAGAGATGATGCCCGAAAGGATCCTTACATCTGTCACTCACTCTCCCGTCAGCCAAGTCACACACGGTCAACCTGGAAACCTCGACCTACTTAGTCTTGACATCGCAAACTGCTTTAAGCTCCCCAGAAAGGAAGTTATCTTTTCAGTCTTTTAAAAAATAAAATATCAATTTATTTTTCTTTTCGCCTCGCCCATTTTAAAAATGCTCCCAAATACAGTTTCAATGGCGGGGGCGTCGCCCTTCGTCCGGACGTGGTTGTCCGTGCGCCCCACGCTGACAGCCGGGGACCCTCCCTCGCCAACTTCTGCACACTTTTCAGTCGCGTCCCTGGTCCTCTGCGCCCCACCCCTAGAGTAAAAACCAACATCCCTCGCCCCACCCAACGAACTCTCCATGAGCACCCACTACTCAAAGTTTCTCGGGCAAAACTTTCCCATCTCCGTTAGGACGCCGCGGAGAGGAGCCTCGGGATTTCCAAGGAGCCGCTCGTGCACAAAGCTCCCCGATGCCTCGGGCTCTGGGCAGCTCCCGCCGAGCCCGCGCTCACCCCGAGTAATTGTTCTCGCTTCCCACGTCGATGGTCTCGTCCATGTCGCTCTCAGAGGTCGTCTCCTCGCATGGGCGCTTCATCGCGGCAAAGACGGCGCGGGTCGCAGCCCGGCCGGAGCCACAGACTCCGAGCGGCGCGTAGCGCCCACCCTGCCTGCCTCCTCCCTCCCTCACTGGGCCCAGGCAGGCGCGGCTCCGGTTTTTGGCTCCTCGCGGCTCTTTCCCACGCCGCAGCCCAGCTCTGCCGCAAGAGCAGGCGCCAGCCACGCCCCCCTGCGCGGGCGGGGCCACTTCATCCGCCTCCCGCGCTCTTGCCCCCAGCGGGCACCGCCCCCTCGGGGCCAGCGTGGCGCGCGATTGGCTGCGGTGAAGGGGCGGGGCCGCGCTCGCCAAACCCGCCGCTCCCGCCGCGAGCCTCGGGCCGAGGCGTGGGAACCCGGCCTCACACCTGGGGCCTGGGAGCTTCGCGCGGGCGGGGAGACACCGCGGCGAGCGTGAGCGCAAGGCTATCTCTAGTTAGGGAAGCGGGCAGACCAGGGCGCGGGCACGGCGTGGGCGGGCCGGCGCGGGGCGGGCTCTTAGGCCTCGGGTTTTGGTTGTCCTTCGTATCCCGCCGTCTGCGGGTAGAGTTTCAGTCCTGTGTTTAAAGAATAACCCCAAGCGCGTGGCTGAATGTGAGCGAGCGTCTGTGACGTCGGGAGGCGCCGTGGCGAAACCGAGCCTCCCCACTCGGCTGTCCCTTGTCTGGACCAAAACTGCTGACTGGTTGACCCTGGCGGTCATATTTGCCCTCTGAGGTTTTCGAAAACCTTAAATCAAAGTTACTTTTCTCTTTGGCAACTCTCGAGGCTACTCCCGCGGCCTCTGGGCTGTGAACAGATAAGGACGTGAGTTTCCCCGACCAGGTACCTAACCGCTGGCGGTCGGAGGGTCTGAGAGGTTGGCCCCCACACGATTTTCGATTTGCTCTAAATCAGTTATTACCATTTGGCCACAGGGGTTTGGATAGCTGATCCTGCTGAGTAGAACGTGAGCTGGAGTTGTGTCTACTCTGGTGGCAGGAAGGACTAGAGCAACAATACGGGTATTTCAGGACACAATTTTAATTTTTCGGGCTTGGATAATCCAGATAATTTCAATTTCCCACTCTCCCTGGTGTTTGCAGTCACTGCACTAGATTTAATTAGAATCCCGAACGTGGAAAATATCGCTCTTGGAAACTGAATTTGTTTTCTAAAGTTCGAATTTGTGTCCAGTTTTTAGTGCGCTGGACAGCGTGGGTTGTAAAAAGTCTAGATGTGCTTTCAAAACATGTTTTCAAGCTTCTCCTTCCCTCCATGCTCTGGTATTTTTGAACCGGCTACGTCGATGTGCCTCCGCGGTCGCTTTGCTCTCTCGGGCGCCGTGGTACCGGGAAGTGGGCGGCGGGTTGGTCGATGTCCAGCCAGAGACGCCGTCGTTGCACCGGGACAGCTCCGTGCTTAGTGGAGAAAAGCCTTTGAGAAAGGGGCGTCTGCCAATCACCACCCTTCGCCACGGACCGATTCATATTTTTCTGGGGATCTGCTCAGGGTGTTCAAACTTTGAACACTCCTTTCTCTCCCCACACAGACCCATGCGGGGCGGGGAGAAGAGGAAAGGATGCGACGTGAAAGACCGGGCCCGGGCGGGGCTGGGCAGGAGGAGAGCTGGAAGCACTTACAGCCAGCTTGTTAAGCCCTCATTAAAACACAAAACCCCTTCCCCACACACCCTCGTCTCTTTTGTACCGTCCCCACCGCGGTGCCTTCAATAACCGTGTGAACAGAAACCCGAAACGTTCCATCCTGACTTTTGAAACTTAATCCGGGGCAAAGCACACAGTCGGTGGGGGCCAGGCGGGGCCTGGCGGGGCTGAAGCGGGTCAGCTCAGGACGGTGGCCGCCGGGAGCGGTGATTCCCTCCAGCCCGGCTGTTGGTTTCAGGGCGGGTCTCCGGGCCTCTGCTTGGCTGCAGCACCGGCGTCCTGAGTGCGCTGCGCGGAGCTGAGCTGGCTGGCACCACACCAGCTCCGACCTCCTACTACGCAACTCTGCTCCCTGTCCCTGCGCCTCAGCGAACCATGAACCGCACGCTCGCAGGTCGGCCACCCCATCTGGTGGGAAGATGCGCCAATGCCTGCCTGGCGCGAACTCGACCTTCACAACTTTAAGCGAATACCTACAGGTGCAATTAACGTTTGCCACACGAGCAAATTAGCGGGAGCTTCCAAACACCGGGGCAAAACCTGAGATCGTCGTTGAAAAAAAATTAAGAGTTCTGTCTCACTATACTGGTGTAAATGATTACAATAATTGAAAAATTGCAAAGAGGGAAGCGGTTTGCTTGCGACGAAGTAGCAGCTGGATAGTTTCTCCATATTTTTCTTTGAAGACTTAACCGCTGTACCGTGTTATAAAGAAAAATATAGCAGGGACATTAGAAAAGCACACGTGGATTTAATGTTCATTAAAAAATATTTTTAAGCAAAGGTCATATTCTACAAGCATTTAGAACAATGCCCGGTACATAGTAAGCTGTATGTAAGTCTGTTTCATAAACAATGCATAGGGCAAAAGACCTCGGCGTTTTGAACGCCATGAAAAGATTAATATGCTCGCTTGTCTGCAAAATACTTAATTGCAATTAGGCAGCACAAGATTTATCTATTAGGTCTTTTATTCTCAAGTGTTCTATTTGCCGACCCCTGGTTAGGCGCCTTGTATGCTCAGTCTTCCACTAAAGGTTCCTCGCGGGTCAGGGAGAAACGGAGAAAACTCTTTAAAACGTCCTAGAGTACATAAAAAACGTTCGTGAATTGTTGGGGGTGGGGCGTGTAGGGGTGGCATAGGCGGAGAGAAAGAATAGACAAGAGGAGAGAACCTGGGGATTTCAAGCCTCATAGCCCTCAGCGACATCCTTTTCAGCCGAAGTTGGTTGAAGCCAGAACAGAAGAAAAGATGCCTGCGCAGAGAAAACCGCAGTTCTTTCCTTTTCAGAATTTTGTACAGTGAGATAATTAGAAAGATACGAGAGATTTTCCTAGAATCGAAATGCCGTTGGGAAATAAAGCCCAGGACGACGAAGCTAAAGGGAATAGACGGAAGAATCGGGCGCCTTCCTGAAGCTGGTCGTCTCGCTTGCGTATTGTGCTTATGTGATTTAATTCCCTTAAAGGCATAAGAATGAGATGTCCAAAGTCGAGATCTACAAACAGACTCAGTAGTCCTGATCTTCGTCCCCAACTTTTCCTCAACCCGTTTAATATTAAGTTACAGTTTTTGCACTTATAAGTATGGCAATCTTGACCTAGTCTTGTCCTATCAAATTTGAGTTTTGTTGTACAAATTAACAAAGTGTTTAAAATCTCCCTTGGAGCATTTTGGGAAGGGATCTGGATCTTTTTTTATTCTTCTCGGTCTGCTATTTTTCTTCACTAATGATTTTTCCCTCTGATTTTTCAAGATCAATTGTCACACTTTATTTGTGGCTTCTCTGAATCTTTTGAGGTGCTGCTTCCAATTACTTACAATTTGTCGGCCACGTCAATGTTTGGATTCTCTTAGAAAGTCAATAAGGCATGACAACACTTGTAAAAAATGTTTTTACTTAGTTTCTCAGTGAAATACAGGAAGTTCTGTTAAAGAACTCTGTTAGTCTGAGAAGCACATAGTTCAAATAAGTTCAATGTTTTGCCCTACCTGAAATACTATAATTGTTTACAGTTTCTCTTGTAAAGGCAAGACAAGCAGGTTGCCCTGAGAACTTCTAGTCTATTTGCAGGTACTGAGACAGGTGACACGCATGTGCATACCTAACTACTAGGCTATTGTGAGCTGGCAATGCTTTAAAGTGTGTGTGAGAATGCTGCACCTAGACAGTGGAGGCCAGGGGCAAAATCCTTGTAAATTTCAATACCTTTCTCAGCAACATGCTGGCAGCAGTCAGGCCAACCTAGGGTCACCGTGTGACACGTATTTGCAAGCCAGTAAAGCAAAACAAAGCTGAAAGCAAGAGCAAATTTAGGCCCACCAACCTTGAAGTCATCTATAAAAGAGACCTGCTTTTCCAGTTAACAATTATTCCTGCCTGGTTATCGCATTTCTTGGCTTACTCCAGTAGGTGCTACTTATTACATCAGAAGCTCCAAAGAAGAAAATCTAATACCCAAAGCCACCTTTCTTGGAATTCAGAATGTTTAAACTGATCTCTATTGAGGGGCAATTTATTTAAAAGCTTTTATTTCATGAGTGATGTTATTAGAGCTTAGCACATGCCCAAGGATGAAGGATGGTTTTATTGTAGGAACCTTGAGAAGAGGATTGTGTAATTAAGTAACCAGTTTTCCACACCTCTGTAAGCAACAATCAGAAGATAACTACGCTCACTATTAACTTCTACTTTGTGAGGGTTAAATTGATGTTGGCAGAATTTTCTTTTAAGGGAATTCTTTTTAAACTTCCATTTTCTTTGGTTGACTGACAGATTTTTTTCCCCCCTGTCTTAAGGATACAATCAGATATATTCACTTCTCTTATGAAAATCATCTTTTAAAACCAACACATCCCCATCTTCTAGGCTAGAATGACATAGTAGATGCACAATAAATGATTTGTAATGAATTTCTGTTGAAATCAGTGAACTCTCTGCCTCTTTCCATATATATGGAATTTAGATACACTAGAATAATAAAATAGAAATAAACAACCATGAACTAAAAAACATGAAAAATAGAAGATAATAAGCTTAAATATGTGCAGGAAAGCATTTATTGTGAATAGGCCCTTTGTTCAGCACTGAGTTTCCTGGCAGCCAAGTGAGAAAGAAACATAGTGAGTTTTCTAATTCTTGTAATCAGAAAAGATGAAGCACATTGCTTTTAAAAAAGGGAAACTTTAGTCACTGAATTCTAAAAGAACTACTGCCTTGTTCACAGAATTAAAATTTTTTATTTAAAGCAAATATTTTCTTTATCTAAAATTCTCCAAGTATCTATATTAATTATTACATGAACAATAAAATATGTAGAAATGAAAAAAATAGTTTATCTCCTAATAGTTGAATAAGCCATCTACTAAGCTCTCAAGATTAATTAATTGACATTAATAGGATAGTACTTCACAGAGCTATAAAAATGTGGGTTCTTCCTAAAAAAGTTTTTGCTTTGCGTTTCAGAAAAAAAATTTAAATCAAGCATACCTGGATCTGGTTG